CCACTTCCACCACCGGCTGCCTAGGGCTCAATTTGGTTTTCATTTGACCCCAGGCAGGCATGAAGTGCAGATGGGGGTTGGGGTGCCAAACCCTCCATCCCCCCAGCTGGGGCCCAGGGTTGGGCACTCCCACAGCCCCGCCCTAGGCCAGCTGGTCACAGTGAGGCTGGCCCCCTCAGTTGGGGGTTGGTGCCATTATGATGCCATTCTGCAAGTGCAGAGGGAAAGGTCCTGGCCCCAGGGCTGCATCCCTGGCAGCAGGCAGCCCCAGGAGTCAGCTGGCAACAGAACCAACTATTCCGTGCACAGTTGGAGGAGCGGAGACAAGTGCCCGGGGGACCTGTAGCCTTGGCACAGACCCAGCTCTCTCTCTTTTTGCCTTGGCATACCACCCCTCCCAGCTCCGCCCATGAGGGTTGCCCGGGTAAGACACTGGTGGCCAGGGAACACAGGCCTGCTCCCTCCGGGCAGCGTCATGCCAATTGCCAGCCCCTGTAAACTCTGGGCCCGAGGCCAGGCTGGAAGCAGCTGTCACATTAGCCCTGTGCACAAATTCCCAGCTTCTAATACTTGTCTATACTCTGGACAGGGCTGGCAGATGCTGGACAAGGCCATGCTGCTCCCTTCCCCTGACTGGGAAATTGAGACCAGGAGTGGGTGCATGGGTTGGGGTAGGCTGGCCATCTTAGTGGAACCCACCAATTCAGACCATTCAGAGTCTACCTATAGGCAACCAGGACACTGTGACTGGAGGCAGATGCCCCAACCCTCAACATTTTGCCCTTGGCAAGATGCCCAACCGCTTTGGGCCTCCATAGTCTTATCTGTAAAATGGATATAAATAATAAGAGAAAACAATTCTGGAAATGAATAGACCCCAAGGTTTAGTCGAACGACTTGTGAGGGGGAAGCCAGGATAATTCATTCTCTGATTTCTAGTCTTTTCTGTAATTCTCCCTTATCATTAAGTCTTATCACAGAGAAAACTAAGTGTTGTTTGTAAAGTGACTTTATTGAGATAGCCTTTACATAGGATATATTCTTGCAGGAGGATAATAAAGAGCTGTTACATGGATTGGATTTGCGTGTAAAATTTTAGGCGGCTCCTGAAAGTGCTAACAAGTTGTGGTTTGAAAGAGCCCAGGGCCAGCTCGGCTTCCATCTCTGGTCACTCACCTGGCAGGGACCTCCACCCCCTCCTGGACCACCCAGCTCCTCTGTCTCTCCCCACCCCCCATGAGCATAGCGCAGGCCCAGCTTCCTCGCTCCACACCTGGGCTACGGCTTGGTGCTCCAGCACTGCACCCCAGTCTTACTCGGCTCAGGCTGCTGTTACCAAGTCCCATCTCCTGGCAGTGGAGAATGGAGCTGTCAACCCAGGGACCTGCTCACGGTTTTCAAGTATGACAGGTCTGAGATCAGGGTGCAGACTAACTCTGTGGTCACCTGGGTGTTAGTCAGAGGGCTGCACCTCGGGGCCTGACTACTCTTCCACACCCCTGGCGGGAGAGGGTTTCAGCAGAGAGAACTTGGGGGATGTCAACAGCCACTGCACAGCATCTTCAGGGGATGTGGTCAGCTCTGGCCAGGCCCTTGCCTTGTCCCAAAACCTCTGAATGGCTCCCCAGTAACTTGCACCAAAAAACAGGATGCCACACTGTACACAAGAGGAGTGGGTGGCATGCAGCTTGACCCAAAGTCCCCCTACCTTTCCTCCTCCCCTTCCACTGCAGCTCTGCTTGGGCCTGCCGCTTCTCTTGGAATGTGCCAGGTACATCAGATCTCTGGGCCTTTGCACCCTTCACCTGGATGGCACAAGTCCACTTTTCAAGGAGCACTCCCTCCCCCTGCACCAGCACCCTGGCTCCAGCAGCAGCTCTCTCCCTGCTTCCAGCCAGGGCCTGCAACTCCAGTATCTATTGCACTGATTGCTTAGGTTCGGCTCCTCCTGCCCCCCTTACCCCACAGGCCCCGCTACTGCAAGCTCCTACAGTTAGATCTTCCTAGTCTATTGTGCTTCCTGTCGGCCCTGCACACCCTCCAGCACACACCCAGAGAACACACCTAGCACAAAGTAGGTGCTTAGTGAATTATCAAACCTTCCAGGTTAGTTATCATGCCCTCCAGGGGAGGCTCCTCCGCCCCACCTCCATGACGTGTCCAGCTTGTAACCACACCTGCCCTGGCCCCCAGTGCACCCTGCTGGTCTTCAATTACAGTAGGCTGCAGTGATTACATCTCTAATTATATCTTTTGCCACACAGGCTGAACCAGATGAAGAGGGGAGTGGCTCTTGTCGGTCAAAAAGTGTTGGTGGGATATGGGATTGTCTCTCTCTCCCATGGTTGACCCTAGGATATTTCCTGGAGGCTCCTTCAAGGCCTGGTACACAGCAGGTGCCCACTAAACACTTGCCCATACAAGTGGACAGCCCCTACTGCTAGCCCTTCCACTTTGTTCTGAGGGAGGCTGGACGCCAGCTGCAGACTTTGGAGGCTAGAGGATGCTGCTGGGCTCCGTCCTGGTCCGCCTGAGATTTGGGAGAGATAAAAACACAGCCCACACTCAGAGAAGCAGGGGGGCAGGAAAGCCAGCTGCCTACTTCTATGGGAATTCATTTAATGCTGGTAGTGGCGGGTGGGGTGGGGAAGGGAGTTGCGGGGAGGAAGGCTGGGACATTCTTGGGTTGTCATGCCTTCCAGTATAAGGCTTTGTCACAGGGATGTGTAAGTGTAGTGCTGGGCTGTCAGGGCTGCAATCAATTCAGCAATTACTGACTATGCCCCCATCTTGCAGATGGGGAAAGTGTGGTCCAGAAAGCAATCGCCTCCACCTGGGGCTCCATCCATGGACTTGAACCTCATGGCCTCTGCTCAGCATCACTACTTCTCCCAAGCTGTACTTTCCAATTGAGAGCCTCAGATAAAACACTAAGAGCTTCTCTCCCCACAAGACAACTTATCAGGAACCTCCTTAGGGTAAAGTCCCCCAGATTGCAGGCTAGGGAGGAAGGGCAGCTCCTAGGTTCATTTTTCTTGCCCCCAGGGACTACCAGGCTGCCTTGCACAAGTCAACACCACAGCCAAACCCCACAGCTTAGTTAGGCACTGAAGATTTTCAACCCTGTTCTATTACCTCCACTATTTTCATAGGGACACCCCACTGCAGACTTTTTGTTGTTGTTGTTATTGATCATGCTTGTGTCTTCAAAAAACAAAGCCAGACAAAAACTTCTTGTCATGGCATCAGGCTCCCTGGGCTTGGTGGCTGCCTTGATGTGGGACAGTCACAGCCCCCGAGCAGGGAACCAGGATGCCGGGGAGGGGCTGTGTGTCTCGATGACTGTCTTCAGGTCCCTGGCAGCTCAAGCCTCCAGGCTCCAGGGATGGGGGTGCGGTGCATTTACAGGGGTTGGTAAGGGGTTGTATGTTTTTTTTTTTTAATAACCACAGCCTTCCCCACTCCTGCTGCAGACCAACAGGACTCAAGGTAGCCGAGTAGAAGACCAGGACCCAGATGTCCAGATTACACAGGTGTGGTGAGACCCGGGTAGCATTTAAGCTTGTGCACTGGAGTCGAGCTCAGGCCAGGGCGCGTTACACTGAGACTGTTTTTACAAGGGGGATAATAATACTGATCTGTGGCGGAGCTCTAAGACCCATGTAGCTCCACCGTGGCCACAGGGCAAGGTCACAGCCACTCTGCTCCAGCCTCAGAATCAATTCCTAGGTTCACACAGAGAGAGACCACCACCTGTCCAGGCAGCCCCTGCCAGGAATCTGGAGAGAGGCCTCTAGGAGGTGCTGTGCGGGTAGGAAGTCCAGACACACCTTGGAGGCCTGCTGCACAGTGCACAGCCCAGCCCGGCTCCAAACAAGCCCCTGGGGATGGAAGAGTCCCGCCCCCCACCCCAGCACCCCCCTCTAGGGCACAGACTTCATTTTCCTCTTGTCCTCTCTGCTCCCTTTGCTCTGACGTGGCTGGAGAGGAGGGGTCAGGTGCTGTCTGCGGGCCCTGTCCACCCTCGCCCTCCGTGAGCAGTGGGATGGGCAGTGCCGGAAGCTGACTCCAGTTTGTGGCGCTGCAAGTGTGATCCCTGTCACCAGGAGTATGCAACAGGGCAGGAAGCCTTTCAAGAGAGGTTGCGCCAGACACCCCCAGGGAGGCCCAAAACCACAACACCCGCCCCCGTTTCTTCCACCCAAGACCCGCGCTCTTTCTCATGCCCAAGCCCCATACAGGCACAGCCAGCCCAGCGCTGGGGCCCCTCTTGTTCAGGAGTGATCATCAGTCAGCTGTAGCTTACCATGCAGGGACACAGAGCTGGCCCCCATCACCTGGCCTGGATGCGAAAAGTAATGGGGTCGTCTACTCCATCCTCCAAATTTGGATGGGTCTGGCAGAGGCAGGTCGCGGCCGGGCTTGCACTGCATACTCTGTCGGCCCGCCTCGCCCCGCCGCCCCGCACGCCCAAGCCGACTGCTCCTGGAGCGGCGGATGCTGTCTGCTCCACGCTTCCAGTCCCGGAAAGCTGAGGCCCCTCAGGTGACCCGGGCAAGAGGGCGAAGGTCCCGACACGGGTCCCATGCGCCATGGTAGGGGCTCATCGGGAGCCGCGGGGCCGCGCCCAAGGCGAGCCGCCTTCACGGCTGTCTGCGCACGCCGTGCCCATCCGGGCCCCCGCGCCGTCGAGCGCCCGCACCTTGCGGCGGCCCCTCCCAGCTTCCAGGCGAGGAAGAGAGCAGCCCTGTGCCCGCTCTTCCGATGCGGGAGACCCAGGACTGGAGCGGGAGTGTGGGGGGAGAGAGTGGAGCGGCAGTGTTTTGTGCGAGATTACGCGGAGCGGATGGAAGGCAGCGCCCCGGCCACGCGCCGAGCCCCGCATCCCTCCTCCCAGTCCCGGAGCTGCAGCCGGGAGGAGCAGCGCGCGCGTCCCGCCCGACGCCCGGCTCCCGCAGACCCGGGAGGCACAAGCGCCGGCTGGTTCGCAGCAGCCCTACCTTGCTGACGGCCGCGCAGGTGCCGGCGGCGGCGGCGTCCGGCTCCGGCTCCGCGTTGCTCGCCGCCAGCCGAATCCCCGCGCCCAATGCCGCCGCCTCCTCCTCCTTCTCCCCGCGCAGCCCAGCGGGCGGGGCTGGCGAGCGGGGCGGGGGCCCGGGGCTCGCCCCGCCCTCCCGCCCCGCGGCTCCGCACCGGCCGCCGCCCCTCCTTAAGCCCACCCGGGTCGTGCTCCTGGATCCCTGGGGCGCGCCCTCGCGCTCGGGGCGCACGCGCACACACTTGAGGCGCGCGCGCCGCAGGCATGGGGCGGGCTGCCTGGTCACCGAGCGGACACTCAGACCCCGCCGATGCCTGGCTGCGTGGCCTGAACCCTCCGGTGGAACCTCGGTTTTCCTCTGGGGAAGTGGACGCTGTAGCCACGTCTGCCCCGGAGGGCTGTTGGAGGATCAGAATCGGAAGAGCAGAGCGCCGGGCAGCGCCGATGGCGCGGTAGGCGAGGCCGCCCGCGGCACCTGAGTGCGGAGCAGGAAAGGCCTCCCTTCCCCCAGCAGCCGGGAGGCGGCGCTGCTGCCCAGACTCGCAGGCCTGGGAGCTCCCCAGTACGCTCCGCCCTGGGGGTGCGGGGGCAGCGGCTTTGCTTTTTAGTTAATTCTAACTGCTAACCCTTCCCGAGCCGGGCACATTGTTCCAAGCACTGTGAGTGACACTCTTATCTGTCTCAAGCTTTAGGCCCAGAGAGGTTAAGCACCTAGTTTAGGGTAGCACAGCAAATAACCTGACAGCTGGCTCACGAATGCAAATTCATGGCGACTCCACTACATCACCTGTTTCCAGGAAAGCTCTTGGTTTTGCTGAATGGAGTATTCAGAGGAAGGAGGTGCACCGACACTCAGGATAAAGGTGAGTGCACAATACAGCATGCTATATCCTACCCTACTTATTTAATCCCATTACTATATCGCATTGAGTCCTGCAGCAGCGAGGACTCAAACCTACACCCAAGTGAGATGCCATATGAGAGCAGCTTTACCCATATGCCACAGTGCCCGCCTCACACCCATTTTATAGATTAGAAAATCGAGGCTGAGGCGCTAAACTCTTAATCTCCTTACAAAGAGTAGCCAAAGCCAAAGCCTGCCACAGCATTCATGAATGACCGGGTCACTTCTGCCCTGACCTGGCCATGCTCTGTACCCAGCCTGGAGCCTTGATCTTGGAGTTGGGCTGTCCAGTCGGACTGCACTGCATGCTTCACGTGTCAGTATGCAAGAATTGCATGCTTGACTTTTTAAAAAAAATATTTATTTGTTTGAAAGGCAATTACAGAGACAAGAGGGAGACAGTTTTCCACTTGCTGGTTCACTCTGCAAGTGGCTGTATCAGCCAGAGCTGGACCAGGCTGAAGCCAGGAGCTGCTTCTGGGTCTGCCTTGTGGATGCAGGAGCCCAAAGACTTGGGTCACCTTCCGCTGTTTTCCCAGGTGCATGAGCAGGGAGTTGGGTTGGGGAAATGGAGCAGCCAGGGCTCGAAGCAGTGCCCATACAGGATACTGGCATGGCTGACAGCAGCTTAACTTGCTGAATCCCAGGCTGCTCTCTGCCCTTGAAGTTTCAAAGGTGCCTGTGGACACAAGGGGAGTGCCTCAAAATCTGGCTTCAGGCTGTTTTTACTTGAATTACAGCTGGGGAGCAGGTGCACCAATGTTCCCCAGGCTAAGGCGTCTCACTTCTCTTGGGGCCTTCCCTTCTCTCCTCCCAGGACCACCTGCTTGCTCCTCTGCCCACTCCAAGACTTCCTTCTCCCCTGTGGCAGTTTGTGCCCTGCAGGCTGGGATTGGCAGGGGGTGGAGGAAGACAGGTTTAACAAATGCCTTTCTGGGGGCTGAGGACCCATGTGCAAGAGGGAAGTTCTTGCCAGCAGACAGCCCTGGAGCCCTTCCTGTGTGCATGAGGGGGTGGGGGGTTCCTCATTTGCCTCTCTCCACTCCTGGTCCTGGCCCACAAGCAGAGCTACCCAGGCCAGCCTCTGCACTGCACACACAGCAGCCCCGAGGCCCAAGCAGGCATGATCCTCCCCCAGGTCTGGAACCACACAGCAGGTCTATACTGTGAAATGCAGCCTGTCTGCTGGCACCTTCCACTGGACCCTGAAGCTGAGTGGTAGGATAGGCCAGGAACCGTCCCTGCCCTGCCTGCACAGCAATGCAGCCAGCTCTGGGACGTGCCTGTCACATGTGTGCGGTGACATGCACATGTACACACCTCCTGAAAGAGCTTCCAGTGAGGGGAGGAGCTGAGAAACAGTGCTGGTGCCCAGGCATGGGGGTCTGTTGGTGAGGTGGGATTAGCCTTGAACTTGGGCAGTAGCCTCTGGTCCCTTCCTACAGTAGCAGGGAGGGGATCTCCTTCTCCTGCAGAATGGGGTCTGGGTATCAGCTTGCTGGGAGGCCAAGGATTGGGGGAGGTAGACTGGCAGCACTGAGCCCCATCCCCAGGGGTAGGGAGGTGGGGGCTGAACAGGATCAGATCCCAACCCTGGAAGGCAGCAGCCCCTAGGGGGGGAAGGGGGCGACAGCTGTGCTGCGGGCCAGGAACCCGACACCAGGGGTGGGCCCCAGCCGCCCTCCAGAAGCACAGGGGGAGGGTGGGCGTTCCTGCAGCAGTGGTGTTAGTGGTGGTGGCACTGGCGGCAGCACACTGGCATCCCCTGGTGTCAGGCTCCACTGATGCAGGCGATGGCTGCAACTCCAGCTGGGAGCTCCTTCCTCCCTCCCCTGCAGCAGGAGCTCAGCTGGCCTGGCTGGCTCCCCCACCCCCTGCACTGGTGATAAATGCCAGGGGAAGGTGAGGCCAGCTGGGAGGAGCCCTTCCTGGCAGCAACCTTGACCTCTAGGCTTGAACATGCCTCATTGGGTGGCTGTGTGAATCTGGTCAGGGTGGTCAGTCTCTCTGGGCTGGGCCCACTGTGCTGTGGCAGGACAGTCTCAGGGCTGGGGGAGGCAGTTAGGCCTCACTGTCCTGTATCCTTTGACTGTGGGGCCTTGTGGGTACAGGGACACTGCAGAACACAGGTGACCAGGGCCCAGGGCCTCAGCAGCAATAGCTTTACAAAGCTACTTGGGATTCACAGGTGCAGCCAGCCAGGAACCTGGGGTTACACAGGATGATGGGGAGAAGCGGAGGCCCTGCCGTTGCTTCCAGGAGGAGACAGTCAGAGTTTCCTTAGCCTGCGAGGGTGGAATGGAAGGGGACAAGTGGAGAACAGCAGGGGGAGGTTGGAGGGGATGAAGGGTGTCATGGATCCCCAGTCCTGTGTCCACTGCATGGTCCCACTGTGGCTGTTCTTTGTGCTGAAGAATGAATATAAGCTTTAAGGCCTTAGAGGGGCAGCCAGGGTCCAGCCCCCTGGGAGCACTGACTTTTCGCAGGCTTGGGGTCTCCATGGATGCTTCCAGCATTATCTGAGTACACTCTCCTGCCAGCCCAGAAGGCTTCCCTTCCTCCACCCCAGCCCTGTCAGTTCCCTGCCAGACCTTAGGGGCACCATGTCCAGCCTGTCGGGGGGCAGCTGAGACCCAACCATGTCACCCTGTTACCCCTTTCTAAGCTGGCAGCCTGGTAAGCCTGGGGAGTCCCCCAGAAGACTGTCCACTGAGGGCAGATATGGAAGGGCCTGGGACTGGCCTGGGCCAGTGAGCAGCCCCAGTTCCTGCCTAGAGTGGGTACTGCTGGGAGCCAGCCCATCACCCTTTGTCCCCCAAGCAGTCCTTCTGCAGAGCAGAGAGGGGCGTGGGCTGCCTGGCCCCCAGACCAACTCCCCTGGGTTTCCCTGGCAGCACCCCGAAGGGGGATAAGGACATGGGCACACAGATCTAGAAACAGCTCACCCAGCAGACACTGCCACTAGAAAGGGAGACATCCTAAGAACTCAGAGCCTGGCAGTTTCGTGGGGTGGGAGAGAGGGAATTGGACTGTAGAGACCTCCCAAAACAGAAGCCGGAGTTGCCCAGGCTGAATGATCCCCAAGTGAGGCACAGCATGATGGCCTGCAGGTTGAAGGGATGTGTGCTGTGATGGGATCAGCGGAGATCCCTGGGGGGCACCCTGGTGGAGATGACCCAGCCAGGGGTGGTGCAGCAGACGCGATCCTGACCAGGAGCCTGTGGCTAAGGCTGGGTCCCAGGACACTGGGGCTCGCAGGGCTCATCAGGCACGAGGCAGGCGCTGGACCACGTCAGGCCTCCCCCTCCCCGTCATCGTCTGTGATGTAGGTCTCAGGCGCCACTCGGTCCTGGGTGGCCTGCCTCTCCAGGTACTCGGCCTTCAGCTGCTCCAGCTGCCGCAGCTCAGCCTCCAGGCGCTCCCGGTGGGCCACCCGCTGCTGCTGCAGCTGCTTCATGGGGAAGGGGTTCATGTCGTGGAACGCGATGTTCATCAGTTTCCTGGGGGGAGGAAGGGCACTGTCAGCTGGGAGCTGGGCGCCCTGGCCCCTTCATTCAGGGAGCTCAACTTCCTGGGAGAAAATGGTGGACAGGAAGGTGATTCCTACCCTACATGATGGGCATATAGGCAGAAGGCAGCTCGGGGTAGGATGGAGCATCCTAACCCATTAGGGAAAGGCTGGTCAGGGAAGGCTTCTGGGAGGAGGAGACGCATGCGCTGAGTGTGGAAGAGTGAACGGAAGCTTTTCAGGCTGAGTGCATGGTGCTGGTGGAGGTGGTAAGGGGGGTGAGGTATGTGGGGCTAACAAGGGCAGAACCCCACCGAGAGAGGTGCCCTGGGGATTGGGATAATTCTGTCTCCTCAGTCCATGGGCTGGGAGGGTAGGCGAGGAATGAAGTTGCCTGGAGGCCCCAGTCCCATGTTCAGGGGCAGACAGGTGGCCCGGGCAGCCAAGTCCCCTGGGGGATTTGTGAGCTGTGGGAGTTCAGTCCAGCACCTGTCTGGGAAGAGGCGGGCGGGGGCCCAGCCGGGGGCGGTGCTTCCCAGGCTTCTCACCGACTGTTGCAGATGGTCTTGGTGAAGAAGCGCAGGTACTGGTAGATCTCCAGGCTGTCCTGCAGCCTCAGGATCTCCTT